GCCACGGATATGCCAGAACATTCCTGGCAGTTTTGTACATTTTGTTTCACAGACCCTACGCCGAAAACAATGAACAAACCTTGAGATTACAAATGATCTTCCTAACAATTTTAGAGACTTTCAATTTTTTGACTTCCTGCCTGCAGGAAGGAAATGACAGTTGGAAGTGTGGGGAACAGGTGTTCCCCTGCACAGAGTGATATCTTCTGCTTACTAAAATAAAAAACACTGCATCAACACTCCTACATGGAAGTGAATTCTGACCGCAAGGCTCAGTCTTTTCACCACGGAGCCAGCTTCAGAAAACCAAATCTGTTTCCTACCAGGAAGTTGTTAAACCCAGCATTAAAGAGCAAGCTAAGGCACAGATTTTCTCGCATCTGTATTGGACTAACCCAAGTAAAGGGTTTCAGTGGATTGAAAATGTCCCCCTCCATGTCCTCCCCGTTACTGGCAGCCCAGTTGCATGGCAGAGTCATCAGGGAACGTAGAAGGGGAAAGGAATCAGGATTGGAGGAAAAAGTGTAGGTGACTTAAGCCCTTTTTCATCTCCCTTTGCTTTTGTGTGTCCAAGTCAGGGGTCTGGCATTATTTCCTCCCGTGGTAGCTTAGTGTTGGCATGATGGCATTCTTTTTCTTTGCCAAGCTAGCTAGTTGTCCTGTCCCTCATGAAGGGACCTTCCCGGCCTCCCAATCTGTTATATAACATTCAAATGACACCTTAGAAGGGCTGAGGGCTCTGAGATAATTGAAGGCTGTGCCTTGGACCAGACAAATGCCAGGCAGTGCTCTCCAGTCTCCTTTGTTAATGGTTCAAACCCATTATGGAACGTGCACTTTTGAGAGCACACAGATTGGGAAAGATATTGTAGCGTCGGTGTCTATAAAGTCTTTGTGAATACTTGGCAAGGGTCGTAGTCCTCTCCTAACATGCGGCATGAGATTAATCAGTTCTGCAATCCACGGGGACTTTGTCTTTTCTCTGTTACTTTAGGAGCCTTAGGAAGCATGGCTATAGAGGAAGGAGAGCTGGTGGCTTTACTGGGGACCAAGCGAGGGAATCGAAGCCTGTGGATTAGCAGAACAGATTATATCGGGACAGATGATGTACGTACGATCTGTCCTTCTGAAATGTCAGTGTGACAGGCAGCCTTCCCTTGGCATCAAAGAAGAGTCAACCATTATCAAAGATCCCTGCACATTCCTTCTGCAACTCGCTACTTTACACTTCCTCTGTTCATTCATTGCTTCCATGAATGTGTGTTGAGGGTCTATCTTCTCAGCTAGGCTCTGTGCTGAGAAATGGAGGTACAACGATAAAAGTAAATGTTCCCTGTCTCCAAGGAGTTTATGATTTTGTAGGGGACCCAGTGTGTACACAAATGATATAAGGTGATAGGTGCTACCCTAGAAGTATTCAAAAGGTGTTTTGACACAAATAAGAAAATGCTTAATTCTTCTTGGAGAAGGAGAATAAGGAAAAGTTGCACAGGGAAGAAAACAAAGTGGGGCAAAATTAGTTTATTTGGCTTTGTCTTAAGGAAAATCAAGGAAAAACAAATTGGTGGGAGAAAGATTTAAAAACACAGAGCACACAATTTTTATTCAATTGGAATTACGTTTTAAATAGATTTTTATTAGTCTCCAATTATTTTCTAATTTTTATGCTTGTGAAATATTCAAACTATGGCAACATTAATAAATAAAAAGTGAAAACTCACTCTACCCCACCTTACCCATTTCCCCAAGGGCAGCACTATTAACAGTTTGACGAATATTTCCCTGGATTTTTTAATTTACGTATAAATCTGCAGCTACGGTATTTTAAAACAAAATGGGATTGTGCCATTCATATTATTATATGTAGTATCTGCAACTTGCTTCTCACCCCACCTGCCACCAACTTACTATATCATGAACATTCTTAGAACAATTTTTCAAAGGAAATGTCACTGCACTACACAGAGAAGGTTGTGGTAGCAATATATAAATATTGCTTTGAGGCAGAAGGATCAGCACGGGCCCACTCTCACCTCCTCTGAGAAGCCTTATCTGATTCACTCTATTGTGATTTTTTTCAGTCCTCGCCTCTGAATCTTCCAGTATTTTTACAAGTTGTTTCTGAATGATATCTGGCCGCTGTTCAGAAACATACTCCTTTGTCTTATACGCAAGTCCTTACTGTTGCAAAGAACAAAGACTCTCCTGTTGTAAGGATATACGTGATCTGGAAAGTTCAACAACTGAGCCACCCGTAGACACTGGTCTTTCATGGCGTGCTTGTTTCTCTCTGTTGATTTGTTCCGATCTCCTCACTCTCTGGGTCACGTTCCTCACTCTACTAACTCTTTTATTCCCTCACTGTCTGGCTTCTAGTTGTGCATGCATTCCCTCCTTCCTTCATTCATCAGATAGTCACTGAGTATTGACACCATGCCAGGAGTGGGGTGGGATTCCAGCGCGTAGAGTTTGGTTTGCTTTAATTCCAACTACAAATCATGGCCTCCTTTAGCTCCACTTGGCAAATTCTCCCCATGGTTTTCAGTTCACATTTCTAAGGATGAGAATCTGGTTGGCCCGCTTCATTCCAGGCCGTACACAGATTGTTGGACACTCTATGGGCCAGTGCCTGTCCCTCCAGGTAGCTGTGTCTGGAGAAGAGGCTGGAAGACTTTGAGCAGGGCACCCCTTCCCAGCCAAGCACGTTCCGTAGATGTCCTCAGGTGTGACCTGTGCAGCTGTGTCATCTCCGTAATCAAGAGTGCGAGTCACCAAGGACGGCCGTGATCTGTACACAGTAAGTGTTCAGTGGACAATGTGAACACAGTCGGTTGTTTCTTTACATGGAGTTGGATTCACTGTGGGCAGAGAGCGAGAATCACAGCCTTCCTCCCTCTCAAAGAAAACACGGCTGGCGACCAGAGTGTCCCATGAGGTAGAGAACACAGGTCACGTGTCACATGCATGCTAATGCCATTGGGTGTCATCTTTGAAGTTAAAACGTGAAGGGAGATGATGAGGAAAATTATAGCAGAGAAATGCAAAGCTAGTGTAAATTTTAAATTCCTATAAGTGGAAATAAAAATTGAGCATTCAAAATGGAATTATAGACCTGGGCAAGAGACTTCTTTTCCAAGAGCCAGGCTGTTTTTCATTCAGTAACTCTTCAGATGCTTGGGTTGTAATTCCTATTAGCACGCAAAGTTTGTAGAAGAAATTACGATTCCACATAGCTCTCATGACTGAAGACAGAAGGTTAAGAGGTTAAAATATATTTTGTTTGCATTTAGTATCATCTAAATAGACATATTCATTGGGGTTGATGTAGACAATTGATGTCAACGAAAGAATACTAGAAATAGCCCACAACAGAACAGCTGCTCAGATGAATTTCTGCCCCATCCTTTCATATTCTTTTTACTATTCTCCCAAGTCTCTGCTTTCATTTGAGAGAACTGCTAAACTTCAGTGGATTCAAACTTTGAGTTCGAGTAAAATCACCAGATACCTTGAAGAGCCTGCTAACCAATTGTCCTTTGGTGGGAGGGCAGAAGGCGTTAATCCTCTGAGCCACCACCAGCATCCTCGGATGCTTCTGGAAGCCAGGCAGCACAGGGCCCCTCCTGCCAAGGGCCTTGGGTGAGAGAAGCCCTGAGAAATACTGGTCCGCATCAGGGTGACGGCAGGCACAGGGGAAGCCATTTGAGGAAGCAAGCTTATCCAAGGGACGGGCGTCAATGTCTGCAGATGTCAGTGTCTGCCCTCCTCGTCACTCCCGCTCTGTGTCAGCTGGGACTTGTACCTGGGACCCAGACTCTTCTGTGGCTCCCAGCTGGCCTCCCTGCCCCCACAGTGGCGCCCCTCTGCCCTTCCTCCACTGAATCTCCTTTCCAAATAACCAGGGGCTACTGCGTTCAGAAAACAGTCTTTCCCGCTGCAGCCTGCCACACATAGTCACCCTCTCCCCCCCACCCGAATCCTTCATGGGACATTTACGTTCTGACCCCAACTGGTTTGTCTAATGTCACAGTTTCCTGTTGCCTGCTACGCCATGCCAGACTCTCATCAACCATCCCAGCCTCCTTGCCTCTGTCTGAAATGTCACCCAAAACCTCCCAGCACCTTGCCTGTCCTTATCTTTCCCTCCCTTCCCCTCCCCACAGCCCAGAGCTGAAGCTCTTCCTGTGTGTTGACATAGCAATGAGTTTATGCTTCTGACCTCGGTTCTTGTTTGTTGTTCATAGGTTTGTTTCCTCCCTCAGACTGTGCATTTTCAGGGCAGGAACCTCTGTCATTCATTCATCTTCACACCCTAACAGCTGGGAAAATGCTCATCATAGGTGCTGAGATATATTTTTAGAAGGAAGGATATTCATAGAGAAAATTGTTGCCTTTTAAATACTTGGTGTGCTTTTGAACTAGTTATTGATAGCTCTTCATGTGTTAATCCTGATTAACAGGTTTCTAATATCGCCGTTTAAGTTTCCTGACCAGCAACATAAAAATAACATTAATTTCTGTTATATGTCAACTAATGTGCAATAATGAATGAACATTTCAGGAAAAATCCTGGTTCGGAAGTTAACTCAGTGAATCCAAACTTCCTTTTCAAGCTCATAAAAGGAATGGGTAGTTTTCCAAGATGAAGACTCAAGACCTGAGTCTCTCTTTTTGCCCAAATTTGCTTAGATATGAGAAACTCCCCCCTAGAACTCTAAAATTATATTATTCTAACAGTTCTACTTAGCAAGAGTAGACTATTACATAAATGGTTTTTGTGCTAACATTAGCAATAAACACCACATATTTAAAAGAAAACAAACAATCCCTGTTTTTACAAATGATCTCAGGCATGCTTTAACCTTTTGCACTCGAATGTCGAGTGCAATTACTCTTTGAATGTATCAATAATTTGAAATACAAAAAAATCCAAATAAATAAGTTCGTGTGAAAAGAAACTCTTTGTTTCTTTTGTAAAATCTGGGGTATTTAAAAAATTAAATCCCAAGTAGAATAAAGGAAATTGAGGAAAAAGCAAGCGAGTGCAAAGGGTTAAAGTTTATTTAGCGTCTAATAATAGGTGTGCAAATACATTGAGCGATCCCTTCCACAACGGCCCTGTTTCTTTAAGAGACCATGGTTGTTAAGTTGGCAGATCATTGAACCATAGGAGGGTCAATAAAAGAATAAAAAGTCACTGGTTAGTGATTCGCGAACAAGGAACTTGATCCCAGTTCAGTGTCTGTGTGTCCATATGCTGCCCAGGGTCAGAGAGGGAGAACGGCGGTATCCTCAGCCCCCTGCGCCTCCTCAGGATGGCTTCTGGAAGGCTCATCAAGCTCGTGGTTTTTGAGTTTCTGGAGTTTGCAGCTTTCTCCGTCCCCACGCTTGTGATCATGGAGCAGTTTGCCAAAGCCTATCAGGACACCAGGACGGCGTCCGACAGAACACATTATTGGCTGATCGTGTCCTGTTCTATTGCCTATGTGGCTCTAGTGACCCTGGTGATTTGGGTTCCTGTAAAAGTTCTCTTACACAAGAAACATCACCTTTACAAAAAAATTACAGGGTGGTAAGTACAAGAACTCTTTAGCAAGGAATAGCTGTGATGTTTTCTAATGTACTGCTGCATATAAGGATGTGACATGTGGCGTGGGTGTATGTAATGCGAGGTCAGTCGGAGGTGGCAATCACTGTTCTGTAAATGCATTGATATTGTGGTATCTTTGGTAATTTTTCTGCAGGCATTTTTACTGGGTGATAATTACAAACTACCTGTGTTAATAAGACTGGAGTTAGCACCGGTCCAGGCTACCCTAAGTAGTGCACACTGGACTTAATTCTTCTGAACACTAAACTGCTTAAAGTTATTAGAGTTAACTTACACAAATCATAATTGTAAGATTATAATATAGAATTTGACTTTTGTGTAAAACTGAAAGTAATGTCTAGTTGTAAATGTTTCCATTGCATTTGCAGGTCTGAAGGCACACTTTGACTATTAACCAACTAAGATTCTTTTTAAGCAACTAGTACCTTCGCTTAGACTTTAAAAAATAATACTTTACTATGTTGGTAAATTCTATTATCCTTATAGGGGGAAGTACTTCAATAATAATACCAGAACTATTTGAAATAAATCAAGATTTAATGTCGCGTTAACTAGCAGTTTAGCTAATGACCACAGATCCACATAAAGGTATCGAGAACAAATAATTTCTGATACTGATGTATTTTTCCTTTTAGATCTTCAGATCTGATTCTTACTTATCTGGTATTGTCTTTGTTTTCCTTGATAAGTTAAATTTTCTTTTCGTACTTTTATTTTAAGCGACATAGAACACATTCGAAAGTTGAGCGACATAGAACACATTCGAAAAGGGAGGAGCTGGGAATTTTAACATAAGCAAGGGCGGAAATGGGAAAAAAATAGATGCAGAAAGAGAGCTAGAAATTCCTTCAGGAGGATGCTGAGGTGCAGAGCAGAAGTGTGTAGTTCATGAACTTCTCTTTCCCTACTGATGCTAGATGTGGCTCCATGAACCCTGCCAGGAGACTTGCAGTTCCACAAGGGCAGGCCTTTTAAGGGAATTCTGGAAATAACCCATTTTGTTGTTGGCCCTGCTTTTGTCAATAGGGTTTAGGGGCTTTCCAAACCTTGTCCAGAGCCTTGTGGTCACCTAAGGGGCAGCTTGGAGCTGGGGACGGGGGGCCCTCCACTCCCCTCATTTCCCCAGGAATTGCTTTGATTGTTCAAGACTCCTGGGGGTGGCCAGGAACTTTGAGGGGATAGTGGAAGGTCCACATGACAACAGGAGTAAACCGATGGGAAGCTGGCCCAGTACAGCCCAGGAAAGAACTCTTGGTGTTTTCGTTTTGTTTTGTTTTGTTTTTGTTCACATTAGTTCAAATCCTTAGGACTCTGGATTCTGAAAGTCAACACAAATCTTCCCATATCACTTATTATTATTAAGCTGTAATCACTTCTTTACAGATCATGTATTGTGTGTCAAGGTAAGTACTGATATGAGGTGGTATAGATATATCTACTTGACCTCACAAAGTAGACATTTTTTGCATGAGTTTATCATTACTACTCCCAAGGAAAAAGTTTCCCAGAGTCAGTCAACTAGAGAGTGGAAGAGGTCTAACTCTTTGGACCCAGGTCTAACTCTGTAACAGGTGGGCACTTCTAATCACTATGCTAAACTGCCTCTTTGAAGGACGAGGTCTTGACCTTCTGGGGAAATTGAAATTAAGGAAGAGAGTAGGCTTTTGTTTCTATTCCCCAGTGCATGTGGTATACGACTGGCTTCATGGCGGCTCAGATTTCATTTTGTACATCTGGCCCAGGGACCTCTCTCCGCCTTGCTACGGGATCTCGGGCTGTCACAACAATTATATCTTTCAGTCATTTCTTTTGGGAAATACTCTTCCAGTCTTTCGTTTCTGTTTCTGGGTGTGGCATGCCCCTCCCACAGGTTATCTGTAATTTCGGTGAAACTGTGGAACTGTGTCCTTATGGCCTCCTTCATAAACACTATCATATAATTATTTACATGGAAGGGAAGAAATAGCTACTGAAAACTATTCTAGAAGCTTTGCACATTGTATGCTACTAGATTTCAACTTTATGACCACCCAGTGATGTGTAGGTGTTGACAGTCTCATTTTAAGAAAAAGAAACTGAAACTTAAAGAGGTGATTACCTTTGTCAAGAAAGAAAACTAGTTACGTGGTGGAGTTGGGATTTGTGAGCCTAGATCTGTCAGATTTCATGCTATTCTATGTTATGCAACTTTTCCTTTATTCTTTCTGATTTTGAATGCCAAGTGTGTTTCAAGAAAAATGCAACCCTTCTAGTGTCATGAGGCTACATTTCCCCCAAAGATGCATATTTGTATTATATATATGATTCCCAAAAGTGTGCATTTGGATATTATAATATATGTGGTCATATCTAGGGCGATATAGCTTAATTGCTAAATGAAGATGGTGCAAAACTAGTTGATACTGTAGAAAGTAGGATTGAAAGTATGAATTATTTTGGAAGAATAATTAGATAATTGTTTATATGAAATTTCATAGATCCTGAACATTCACAGATTTCATGTTGTTGAGACTATTTGAGAGCTTCCCTGGAGGTCCATGCTGGCATTGTGAGCCTTCCATGGCTGGTCTTCAGGAGAGAGGAAGTCATCAGCTAGCAAAGGGTGTGCCCCATGAATACATCAAGGCAGACCAGACCTGGATTGAAGTCCTAGCTTTGACATTGACTGTGAGATCTTGTGTGAGTTATTTAAATTCTTTGACTTTTAGTTTTTTCATGAGCAAAACAGGGACAGCTTAGTTTCTACCTTGCAGTATTGTTTGAAGAAACTGAGAAATGAAAATGAGATTCTGAGAAAAGGAGATTATGTATATAAAGTTCCCAGCATAGTACCTGGTACGTGCCAAGCACTCAGTGAATGCTAGTGTCATTACCTCAGACTGAATTTACTATTTTCATTTAAAATGTGATCTGGTTCAATCCTGGGAATGACTCTGAAAAGCAGAAGCGATGATAAAACTGGAGAAAATTATAAGCTTTCAATGATATTCCTTGAATTTGGAGAATTTTGCAGGTCTCCTTTATTTTTTGAGAATAATGAGGGCCAACACAGTGATGTCATTTAGATCTTATAAAATGGTTGCATCAAACTGTGTTTTTATGTTTCATTTTCTCACTAGGCTTGCACGCCACCATTGTAAACTTGACCAAGGGGACATAATTTCCATTTTTCTAAGGGAGGAAACAATTTCAGGGAGTGTAAAACATGCAGTAAATCGACGGTGTAGTCTGGACTTTAATCCAGTGTTCTTCTCTCTTGTACTTTACACTTCCTCATTCTTTTAGAATTATTGTTCCCTTCTAGGGACACCTGTCATAAGTCATAAAAAATGAGAGAGATTGGAGATATAAAGTAAAGTTATTTATATACACATGGAACTGTGTATTCCAGTAAACAAGAAAGTTCCTTTCTTGGAATATGAGTAAATGGGTGAAACCATTGAGCTACATGGCTAGCCTGAACTCAGATCAGATGCCCATCCAGAAGGTACATCAGGGCAGGATAATCCTAAAGTATTTGTGGGGATTCCCTGACTGTCTTGGGACCCAGAGCTATATTTGAGGAATCCTCGAGTTCTTCAGGGTACAACTACTTCAGACGATGGCATGTCATGAATCCTGGGCACTGCCAAGTTTGAAAGACCCTAACGTTTTGGGTGACATTTTACTTTGCTTAAATCTTTAACGTACTCAGTGAGATTTTGCTGTTGATCTGTTTAAAGTAGCGATGGTGGTAGTAGCAGTAGAAGTACTTGTAGTCACAGTAAAATAAGAGCAAATATTTATCGAACAATTACTATGTACCAAGCATAATTCTAAACACATTGTCTATATTATTTTAGCGAATTTTCTAATCTTTATATATAAGACAATTATAGTGTCCACTTTACAAATGAGGAAATCGAGGCACAGGAGTTAAAAGATCACGCAGCCAATGCGTAGTTGAGCCAAGACGGCCCCAAGGGCTTCTGTCTTGAGACCCTGGTCTCTTGAGCACTTTGCTGTTCCACAGTAGCCCATGCAAGTGGAACACACAGTACCAGTAACATCTGTGCACAGCTGGACAGATTGGATAACCTGCAGGAAATAGAGCTCACTCTGTTCAGCACCTCCGAGAGGTTCTTGGTAAGATACCAATAACCTAACACCAGTGCTTCATAGTGACTTCTTCCCAGAGCACTCCCATCTCACACTGGGTCTGTCATCTGATATAATCGGTATCAATAATTTGGCTGTACTTGACCACAGGCTTTCTCTTCCTTGCCCCAGCAAACCCAGTAAATCAGCACGAGTGAGTGTATCTACTTTTGCACTTCTCTCCCTGCCATATGCAATAAGTCACCACATTCCATTCATTCTCCCATTTTTTCATCTCTCTTGCTCCTTGTTTTCCATGGCTGTTTTCCTTATCCCAGTTAGGCCCTCATTTCTGGGGCCACCATGCACTGGAGTTTCTGGTATCGTCCCCCATATTTTCATGTATTCAGGTCCCACGTCAGGCCATTTGACCCGATTGATTTTGTCCAAGGAAAAGTGAAGAGCCTCTTGTTAACCAATGCTCGGGCTCTGGCAACCTTGACCCACTGGTGGTCTCACCTCTTGCTGCTTTTCTCCCCTAAATTCCTTCCCAGTCCTGGTTGATGGAGTATTACTCTTCTTTAAAAAAAGTTTTCTGCACATCAGCTGCACCCCTTAAAAATCTACTCTTCCCTTTGCTTGTAGAATCGAAGGTTGACATTATTCCACAGAATCCTAAAGCTGGAAGAAATCTTAGAGTTCAGCTACTGCACTATTTTTCACCATACGGACAGACAGACAGTCCACCTCTGATTTTACAGGGAACTCACTACTCTCTATGGCTCTAATTATTAGAACAGTCTTCCTTATTCTTTGTGTGGAAATAAAACCTCCCACCATGTAGCTCTCTTCCCATCCTCTTTGCAGACTTCTGCCCTCTCCTT